ATATTTTTAAATAAATGGATGAATTTCTTGTTTGTGTGGGCTTTAGGTAAAATGAAACTCTTCTCTAGTAGTTTTATTTTAAAAGAGTACTTTCCTTTATATGAAAAACTGTAAATAGATGCCGACCTTTTTATTGTTTACGTAGATATCATATAATTGTTTGGAAAAAAAAAACAAACAAACCTGAGGCTTAGACTACTTCTTCCCTACCTAGGATCTCTTGTTTTACACAGCTATTCACAGTGTGTGTCTCCTCAAGTGTGCTTTCGGATACTACCTCATATTAGTGAGATGAATCGATTACTTATGGTATCGGTGGAAGGCCATCTCCAGTCCCTCCAACAAAACATTCTGTCTGGCTCCATTTTCTTCCCTGAGTCTCTTGAAATATTAGCGGACTCTCTGGATTTTTGCTGAGCATAGAACCATACATTCCAGGCACCTAGCTGAGCAACAGCTAGTATGTCTTCCTTATGGCGGTTACTCTTGTGATCCTTGTTGCTTATAGTGATGATGAAGATTTGGTGATAATTCCTGGTGCAACACGGTGGAGCTCATATTCCCTCAGGGGACCTTTACCATCTACAAATATTCTCAAGGGCTTCTCTTTTCTGTATTGCTTTCAGTTAACTTTTATTTTTGTGATATTTCGGTGTAATCATTCTTCTCTCTGTCCTTTTCCTCAATGGGAAATAATGTTTGCATTTGATAATTCCAGAAAAGGACAGTTATCTGTACACTTGTCCTTCAATGAGACTGATGGCGGAATTGGGAGATCTTACCCGGTTCTGATATATTATCTTGTATTTGATTACAAAAGGTAGACTGTAGATGAACACTGTGAGCCAAATTGGAAAATCTGGTTCATGATCTTCATTTATTTAGCTTTGTTAAACTTATCATTATACTGATAACCTATTATGATATATTAAATTAAATTTAAAAACAGAATGTATTATATCTTAATAAATATCTAGTCTTAATATCAGATTCTTTACTCAGTAAGTAATAAAAGTTTTGAAATCCTATTCACAGTTGGATGGAAATATAAATTGGATGGAAATCATATCATTGTTAATCATGCTGAAAGAGAAATAATTGCATATTTAAATTACTATGCTCTCTTTATAGTACAGACATATTGTTTAATATTTTTAAATAAAATATTATACAATTTTATAATATGAACCTTCAAATTATGACCAGCCTTCAGAAATTGTAGCCAAGGTGTTTGTATATTTATGGTCATTTGTATCAAATCCTCACTGGCTTATTTATGAACCTATTTGCTTTCAAATAACTTCAAAAATGAATCCCTGCATCTGAGAAGGACTGGAAAACTCTCGTTCTTCTGTGCAGGCACCTTGGTCAAACATAGCACTGATCAGAGTCCCCAGTGACCTCATCTGTGGCACAGTGGTTAAGAAAGGGGAAGTGGAACCGTAAATAGCTAGATTTGGCCGCAGATGACTAAGTCTGAGGCACCCGAGGAATTCCAGGTGGCCCCACAGATGTCACAGAAGTAGAAAATTTAGATGTCTGTTGCACAGCTGGTTGTACGTAAGACTCCTTCCGAAAGACCATCAGAAGCACATCAGGGCTGGTATCTGTGCTTTAGAGTTAGAGGTTACCTGGATTGCCTGAGCAGAGTCACAGAGTTATGGAACTAGAAGAGATTAGAAATCACGTAATTTAAGCATTAGTTTTACTTTGAGAGATTTATGTCTAGAGAACGTAACTTACTTTACTTAAAATTCCTGACTCTTGGTTTGTTGACTAGGACCTGATATGGTGGAACAAAGCTGTATGATTTAAATAAAAAAGGATCCTGCGTTTAAATTCTAAGCACCACTTTTTACTATTTGAGTCATTTAACCCTTGAGAGCCTCAACTTCCTCTGTAGTGTAAAAGTACTATTTACTTCACCAGTTTTTAAAAGGTTAAATAAGATATATATATGGAAAAGCTTCCCATTTTGACTAGCACCCAATGAAGAATAGTTTCCTGTCAGCTTCCACCTGAGCATCTTGGACCACGACCCTTCCTCATGGGAGAGCACACCTAGAACCTTTGGAGAGTTGAACGTTGGCCAATAACCATGAGCTAAGCAGCATACTGATACTAAGCCAAAGCCCTAGCAAATATCAAAAACAACTAAAAAACTATATCCCAATAGTTCCAAGGCCACTTTCCGTAGTAACCAACTGACACCAGTGTCCCAAGAACCTCCCTTATGTCATTCATGCTTAGACTGTCCAGTATGGCCAATGGCGTAGTAGCATAGAGGGAAATCTGGCTTATATGGGATACTAAGACACATCTCCACCCTTTCTTCACTCTTCTCCACCTTCACCCATTTCTTCCACCTGTCCTTACCTTTCCCTCCTCCAGCCTCCCCTTTCTGCCCTCATGTAAATCGAATCTTGGACATGGCTGTCAATTCTTATGTTTAATTTACCTCATTGAGCCTCATTTGCATCTCACTGTAGTGAGGTGGATTACCCAGAGCCTCCTCCCCTGGCTTTCCTCCTGGAATCCCTAGTGAATCTGTTGTTTCGTAACATGCCTTCGGACCCTCTTCCATCTGGTTACCGTGTGACCACCAATGTCTTTCTTAGTCTCCTTGTGTTTCCGATTTTTTCTGGGCCCAACTGGTATACTCACAGTTCTTCATAACCACCCTTTCCTATTCACGTGGTCAAAGAGAAATATATATCTGTACTTTATGAATAGACGGATGCTGGACAGAAAAAAAAAGAACTCTGGTTAAACATCTTTCTAGGGATACAGAGCTATACTGTATAGGCAGAAATATAGTTGACAGAGGAAACACAACACACATATATGTCAACACTCCATTCGAGTTTTTTAAAAAATGAGGGTCATGGGTATTTGGAGAAAGGTGTTTCTGATGAGAGGTGCTATAGGAGAGAGATGACAAACTATGCTTGCTTTTGTGGGAGGTAAAGAAAAATTGTCAGTTAAATGTAAAGATAGATTAGAACAGTGAACTTCAACCTTGAATATTTGTATAAAATGAAAAAGGATTGGCATCATTTGTAAAATGGCTTCTCTTGTATATTTTTTATTGCAAAATGAACATATTTTGATGATAGAAACACTAGAAAATGACAATAATCAGAAGAAAAAGCAGAAAAGAAACCATCTATCACCCATATAACACTGATAATGCTTTGTAAATGTGTTCTGATGTTTTCCAATATTTTCCCTTATCAAAAACACCAGTCTATATTTATGGTTTTGTAGTATTTTATCATGAGAAAATTTCGTAACACAAGTTTATAAACATCTCTGGAGTACACATTCCATTCTCTGTATGTGTCTTTGCTGATATTCCCTCTTTCTGCATGGTGTGTAGCATGTCTTCACTGAAGTTTATACAGATTATTTGCTGATTATCCACTTCTGTTGTGTTTCTATGTGAATAGTATTCTTCTTTATGTGTGTATTCTTTAATACTTTAATACTAATGTTGATAACAAATTCAGTGCAAAAATAGGGGGGAATTATATACAGTAGTCATGGCAGTGTCTGTACTATCCTGTAATATCCAACCTGTAATATCCAATGAATCTCATTCGAGGCACTGTATTGAGCCCGAAATGACCTGCATAGGTTAATTTAATCAGTCACGATAATATTGTTATAAGAACTTAGTTATGTTTTACTGTGTTTGTTGAGCACTTAATCTGCATCAGGTATTGAACATGTGTTATTTCTCACAATAACACCTTTAATAGTTACACTATTATCCTATTTTGCAGAAGCATTAAACTCAACCACAGAACTTAATTAATTAGCCTAAGCCTAAACAACAGAAAGGGTAAAGGCTGTCCGCTTGGAGCCTACACTCCCTCCTAGCCACTGCTGCCAAAAGGCCTAGATAGATAGAAGTGCTTTTCCAGTTCATTCCAACTCGGCAACTCCAATACTACAGAAAAGAATTTGCATTACAGGATACTTTGAGCCCATCTACAAGGCAGTTCACAAGTAAAATACAACTTATGGCATGGAGCTGCAAACTGCGCTTCTGGATATAGGCTTGCTCATATGTCAAGAAATGAAATAATGTAAAACTAAGTTAGACTTCGACTTTAAGAAGATATGTTTTGGACTATATTATAAAATATGATCCAGAAAGGCAGTTACCTTTTAATTACTCAAAACTAAACAAAGTATACAAACCTCTGCTTAGAAAATTCGATCAGACTTTGACTAGTTGTTTAAAGATCCATAATATATGAATTTGAAATGTATTACTGACGCATCTTTCCCAGGATACCCCAAATCTTCTTTTTTGTTAAATTTATTGGGGTGACATTGGTTAATAAAATTATATGGTTTCAAATGTACAATTCAATAACACATCATCTGTGTATTGCGTTTTGTGTTCACCACCCGAAGTCAGATCTCCTGCCGCCACCCAGTTCTTACCGAGTGGAGAACGCTGTCTGTTGGGAAAGCCGTGTGGTCTGGTGGGCAGCGTGGGCCCTGGAGTCGGACCGCCCGGCTCTGCCAACCCTCAGATGGGCAATCGCAGGCAAAACTCTTACCCTCACTTTCTCCTCTGTAAAATGGAATCATAACAATCCCTGTTCCACGGGACTCTTTTAAAGATTCAATGAGAAGCTCATATAAAGCACATGGCACAGTGCCTTGCATGTAAAATAATAAATATGATTTTTATTAATAATAATTACTGGACTTTCACACTGTCTCTAAATGTATGTAATCCTGGTCAATTCTACCGGCCAAAGGACATCCCTCTAGCAGGTGTCCATCCAAAACCAGTGCTGAATCTAAGGTCCCAATGGAGATGGCTCGTTTTCCAGCTTAAGTCCTCCAGCCTTAGAAATTCTTGACTGTATCTCATGAGTCTCCCCCAACCCCTTTAATAGCAAAATATAACATGTACGTAAAATTCTTAGAAATATGTTTTGGCCTGTGGTTTATATTTATGAATGGCTTTTATTCTTCAGATCAGCTTCTAGAAGCTGCCGAACATTATGAAGCGTTCCATCAACTGACGCAGGGGCGGGTGTGGAAGGACGAGACAGGCCGCTTTCTCAACCTGTTGGCCTGCGAGAGTCTCCTGAGGACTTACAGGTTACTCGCAGACAAAATGCTGGAAAATAAAGAATACAAGCAGGCCATCAGTACTCTATTAAAAGCTTCTGAGATAGCTAAAGAAGGTAGGTGGAAAGAAACTCTCACATTGCTTTCTTTAATGGGCAGACGCTGCTCCTCCCAAGAGCGACATAAAAATCAAGTGTTTGGGTGATTATTTTCTGTGAAATGCAATGACAAATGCCATCAATATATTTTTAAATTTCACTGTAAAACAGAGGTGCCTTAGTGCTGACAACAAGAAATCCATTAGTTTCTTGAAAGCTTTATCTCCAAAATTACAACCCTCTGGGAGTAGTGTTTTAAAGCAATGAACCTATAATGACAAGGTAAGGTCATTCGTGAAAGTGTATGTGTGTGTGTGTGTGTTTCAGGTCATAATATTCTTATAACTTTTCATTGTTTGTAAATTTCTCATTGTCAGGTAATAGGAAAGATATGATAAATATTTAGTTAGGAGTCAGAAGAAAATAGAACTCCATATGTTTTAGATCCTTGACTGTCAAAGTGTGGCCTTCGGACCAGCTCAGAATCTGCAGATTAGCAAGATCCCCAGCAAGATCCCCAGGTGATTCGTACACACAGTTATAGCAGTGAAAATGCTTTTGTGAGAGTTGCTCATATCCTTAATATTTTATGCCATTTGCATATATATAAAATATAAAGAAAATTTTGGAGCTTATATTCATAAGCTTTTACTCATGAAATGCAAGGATTTTTTATTGCCATATAGTAATTTATGAATGGAGTAGCCTTTTCATGAAGAAAAAAAGATAGAAGTTATGCCGTCGAACTGAATTTTATTGGCTTGTAGATATATTAGGTCTATTGGAATAACAGTTGGCTTGTTTGGGGTAAGCAAGTCTGATTTTCTGGGTGTGATTTTAATTTTCTGAAGAATAAAAGTAAACAGCTTATTCTCCTTGTTAGGTCTTTTAATAACTTCAGTTGGAATAGCTGTAGGAATCACCCCCAGTGAAAGATGTTATCTTATTGAATGAACTGCTTTTGAATGAACGGTGATCTAGTACTTTCTCCCGAAAGGCTAAACACTAATAGAAATGGTTATCTCTTAGATCAATTTCAGCAGCTGACTTAGTCACGTGGAAAGTTATGTGGAATTTCAGGGTAAAGTAATATATGAATTAGGAAAAGGTATTTTACTTCAGGTTCGCATATGCTAAAATGCAAGGTAGTCACAAAGAAAGAGGGGGGTCCCTAGAGTCCTGAAAATAAAACCATAATGTTTTCTTTAATATAAATGATTATTGACTGTGGTAGCAAAGCCAGTTTAATTTAACCCACTCGAACTACACAATCTAAGTAGTGTTTTGTCATTTTTTTCCTTTGGTAAATTGTCATTCAACTTTACTAGTGGCGACATTTTCCTCCATTATTTTATTGCTTTCACTTTATCTTAACTTTGTCTCAACTAATAAGCAGGAAAAGTTCTCATGCTTACATACTATTTTAGAAGGAATATTTGATATGATCCAACTGTGTAAATTAGCTGCCTCAAAATCTTTCTATCAAGAGTAGATTTTTCTCTCCTCCTCTCTACTAGTCTGCCCTTTATATAAAATTAGATGCTGATGACGATACCACATCAGCACATGCTCTTGCTAGTGCTTTAATATAGTTATACCATTTAACACAGCGAGTATGAATCACATATAACTGACTTTTAATCGGCCAAGGGCCAGCTTTCCTTCACAGCCTCTTCCTTCCACCCCATCTTCCCCTCCCCTAGTCTCATCCCAACCCCAGCACTCATAAACCTATACCAGATAGTGCCCAGCTGAATTTTAAGAGTGAAAATTCCCCAGACTGGATCACTGGCATCATCAGCTCTGCTGAAGTGAGATCTTAAGGGTATCATTCTCTGCAATTGGTGAAACTGCTACAGAAGGGGGGAAAAAAAATCCTGTCACCAGCATTTGTTAACCTGTTTTCTCGCAGTCTTCCCATTGAGCCATGCTTCACGAGTGGTAACTCACTCACTGAGTGGTGAGAGCGAATGCAGCATAGAGGATCGCTAGCTCCTGCCGAAATCCATTATGGTTGGAATGCAATGTTTAGAAAGTAATCGAAGGATACTTACTTTTTAAATATCAAAAATGAGAGTGGCTCTGTCAGCATTTGCATTACCCAGGACTTAGGTAACATGGAAAGCCAAAGAGTTCCAAAAGTAGAAAAAGGATAGTATTCTTTTTAAACATAAGTGCCTTTAATGATTTCTGTAAGTATATTACATTTGTATACTATATTTAGTATATTAAATGTAAATAAATTATATGCTATGAGATGGCATAATGTGTGCCATGGTGGACCAGTATAGAAATTACATGTGAATCTCAACATGATAGTACCGGGTCATGTATATACAGGACAGCTCCTCATAATTATGTTGCTAACGCCCTGTAGCATCTGTGATCCAGGTAAATTGTATTAACACCAGCCCCCCCCTTTTTTTTTTATCAGTACATGGTTAGGTTGCAGGGATTATAGATAAATGTGTATACTTTGTTATAATAACTTTCTACTGTCTTAATAAGCTAAGATTCTGTTTGTTTTACTAAATCAATTTCTTTAAAGCCACAATAATTTTTCTATATTTTCACTTTAGGAAATGACAAAAGGATGGAAGGAGAAGCTTCCTATTACTTGGGCTTAGCATACTTGGCTGCTGGAAATTATGAAACAGCATTAACAGTAAGTTGAAATAAACTTTTAGTCATTGCCACTTTTAATTTTTATTTTATCATATTTTATTGTATGTTGTTAAAAGGCCGATAGAAATGGACCTGATGTCAGTGTACCTATTTATGGAGACTGAAGCACAATAGCAATGTTCTAGAGGCATAAAAAACTGGTTTTATTGTTTACAGAAGATAGTATCAGTCAATTACCATGAACTGCTTTAGGAAAAATGAAAGTTAAACATGTAGGGTGATGTGACCCTCTACACCACCATGTCACCAAGGACAAGAGGAAATGGGTTTAAATGACAGCAAAAGGTGAGTAGTAAAAAAAAGTTACAGTAAACTTATAATATGATTTAGGGAAATTTGCTTAGAAAAGGTTGTAGACATCAAGCAGTAGAAGGGATTGCACTGCTGCGTGTGAGTTAGGGAGAGGTGAGAGACAGGGCAGCAAAGTGGGGGGCATTGTTGGGCCCCCCATCTGAGAAGTAGCCTGCTGCATGATAAAAATCAGTGTTTGCCTACTTTATGACCAGGCTTGGTGTGTTTGGCTAAAACACAAAAAAAAAATGTCAAGAAAGAAAAGCTATCTTTTCTGTCTTATAACTGAAATTCTTTTTCTTTCATTCTTCTCTCATCTCTCATAAATTTAAAGCATAGCATCGTTTCATTTCACATACATCTCTTTAATAATCTTATTTGATATGCAATATTGGCCTTATTTTCAGCCTTGAGGATCTCTTATTTGCTCTTTTAGATATTCATACTAAATAAGATTCCGTATTTGGAGTTCATATTTTTCTCTATCACCCTTTTGAAATTGGGTCATCATAGAAACGGGTTTTCCTAGATGACTCTTCTGCTTGATGTTTTTCAGTTAACGACATGCATTCAGTAAAGCTGAATTCCAGGTACTTTGGGAAACACGGGCCAACAAGATGCACACTGCCCTTGAGGAACTAGTTTAATGAGGGTGACCAACTGGTAAACATACCTATAATTCAAAGCAGGATGAACAGGGATTCTCTGAGTGCAGAGA